TACCTTTATAGACTTGGGTATGTTGAACTAGCCTTGCATCCCTGTATGAAGCCTACTTGATTGTGATGGATAAGCTTTCTGATGTGCTGTTGCAATTGGTTTGCCAGTATTTTATTGAAGATTTTTGCATCAATGTTCATCATGGAGATTGGCCTGAAGTTTTCTTTTTTTGTTGAGTGTCTGCCAGGTTTTGGTAACAGGATGATGTTGTTCTCATAAAATGATTTGGGAGGGATTCCCTCTTTTTGAGTTGTTTGGAATAGTTTCAGAAGGAATGGTACCAACTCCTCTTTGAATGTCTGGTAGAATTCAGCCGTGAGCCTGTCTGGACCTGGTTTGTGGGCTATTAATTGCTGCCTTAACTTCAGCCCTTGTTATTGGTCTGTTCAAGGTTTCAACTTCTTCCTGGTTTAGGCTTGAAAGGGTGCAAGCATCCAGGAATTTATCCATTTCTTCCAGGTTTACTGGTTTATGTGCATAGAGTTGTTTGTAGTAATCTCTGATGGTAGTTTGTACTTCTGTGGGATCAGTGGCAATATCCCCTTCATAGTTTTTTATTGCATCTATTTGATTCTTCTCTCTTTTCTTTTTTATTAATCTGGCTAGTGGTCTGTCTACTTTGTTAATCTTTTCAAAAAACCATCTCCTGGATTTATTGATTTTTTGAAGGGTGTTTTGTGTCTCTATCTCCTTCTGTTCTGCTCTGATGTTAGTTATTTCTTGTCTTCTGCTAGCTTTTGAGTTTTTTTGATTTTGCTCCTCTAGCTCTTTCAATTTTGATGATAGGAGGTTGATTTTAGATCTTTCCTCACTTCTCTGGTAGGCATTTATTGCTATGAATTTCCCTCAGGACACTGATTTAAATGTGTGCCAGGGATTCTAGTACATTGTGTCTTCATTCTTCTTGGTTTCAAAGAATATCTTTATTTTATTGCATTGTTTATCCAGTTGACATTCAGGAGCAGTTTGCATGAAGTTGTGCGGTTCTGAGTTAGTTTCTTAATTATGAGTTCTAATTTGATTGCCCTGTGGTCTGAGAGACTGTTTGTTATGATTTCTGTTCTTTTGCATTTGCTGAGGAGTGATTTACTTCCAATTAGGTGCACAATTTTAGACTAGGTGCAATGCGGTGCTGAGAAGAATGTACATTCTGTGGATTTGGGTGGGAGATTTCTGTAGATGTCTATTAGGTCTACATGGTTCTGATCTGAGTTCAAGTCCTGGATATCCTTGTGAATTTTCTGTCTCGTTGATCTATCTAATATTGACAGTGGAGTATTAATGTCTCCCACTGTTCTTGTGTGGGAGTCTAAGTCTCTGTATAGGTTGTTAAGAACTTCCTTTATGTACCTGGGCACTCCTGTATTGGGTGTGTATATATTAGGATCATTAGCTCTTCTTGACACATTGATCCTTTTACGATTATGTAATGCCCTTCTTTGTCTCTTTTGATCTTTGTTGGTTTAAAGTCCATTATATCAGAGACTAGTATTGCAACTCCTGCTTTTTTTTGCTCTCCATTTGATTAATAAAACTTTCTCCATCCCTTTATTTTGAGCCTTTGTGTATCCTTGCATGTGAGATGGGTTTTCTGGATACAGCACACCAATGGGTCTTAATTTTTTATCCAATTTGCCAGTCTGTGCCTTTTGATTGGAGCATTTTGCCCATTTACATTTAAGGTTAATATTGTTATGTGTGAATTTGATCCTGCCATTTTGATGCTAGCTGGATGTTTTTCCTATTAGTTGACACATTTTCTTCATTATGTGCATGGTCTTTACCATTTGGTATGTTTTTGGAGTGGCTGGTACTGGTTGTTCCTTTCCTTGTTTAGTGCTTCTTTAAGGAGCTCTTGTAAGGCTGACCTGGTGGTGACAAAATCTCTCAGCAATTACTTGTCCATAAAGGATTTTATTTCTCCTTCACTGATGAAGCTTAGTTTGGCTGGATATGAAATTCTAGGTTGAAAGTCCTTTTCATTAAAGATGTTGAATATTGGCCTCACTCTCTTATGGCTTGTAGGGTTTCTGCTAAGAGATCCGATCCGCTGTGAGTCTGATGGGCTTCCCTTTGTGGGCTACCTGATCTTTCTCTCTAGCTGCCCTTAGCAATTTTTCCTTCATTTCAACCCTGGTGAATCTGATGATTATGTGCCTTGGGTTTGCTCTTCTTGAGGAATATCTTCGTAGTGTTCTCTGTATTTCCTGAACTTGAATGTTGGCCTGACTTGCTAGGTTGGGGAGGTTCTGGGTAAGATCCTGAAGAGTGTTTTCCAGCTTGGATTCATTCTCTCTGTCACATTCAGGTACACTTATCAAATGTAGGTTAAGTCTTTTCACATAATCCCGTATTTCTTGGAGCCTTTTTTTTTCACATAATCCCATATTTCTTCTTCGTTTCTTTTCACTCTTTTTTTTCCCCTAATCTTGCCTTCTCATTTTATTTCATTGAGTTGATCTTCAGTCTCTGATATCCTTTCTCCTGCTTGGTCAGTTTGGCTACTGAAACTTCTGTATGTTTTGCGAAGTTCTTGTTGCTGTGTTTTTCAGCTCCATCAAGTCACTTGTATTCTTCTCTAAGCTGTTTATTCTAGTTAGCATCTCATCTAACCTTTTTTCTAGGTTCTTAGTTTTTTGCATTGGGTTAGCACATGTTCTTTTAGTTGAGAGAAGTTTGGTATTACCCATCTTCTGAAACCTGTATCTGTCAATTCATCAGATTCATTCTTCATCCATCTTTGATTCTTAGCTGGTGAGGAGTTGTGATTTCTTGGAGGAGGAGAGGCATTCTGGTTTTTGGTGTTTTCATCCTTTTCACACTGATTTATTCCCATCATAGTGATTTTATCTACCGGTCTTTGTAGTTGGTGACTTTCAGATGGGCTCTCTGGGTGGATGTCCTTTTTGTTGATGTTGCAGCTATTTCTTTCTGTTTCTTAGTTTTCCTTCTAACAGTCAGGCCCTTCTGCTGCAGGACTGCTGGAGGTCCACTCCAGACCCTGCTTTCCTGGGGATCACCTGAGGGGGCTGCAGAACAGTAAGGGTTGCTGCCAGTTTCTTCTTCTGTTATCTTTGTCCCAGAAGGGTACCCAACAGATGTTGGCCTGAGCTGTTTTTGATGAGGTGTCTCTTTGGGTATACAAGGGTCAGGGAACTGCTTGAGGAGACAGTCAGTCTCTTATAGGAGCTCAAGTGCTGTGCTTGGAGCTCTCTTGTTTAATGCAGAGCTGCTTGGCAGGTACCTTTAAGACAGCTGCATTGGAACTCATAACCACCTCTTTTCCCATGTGCTCTGATCTAGGAAGGTTGGCTTTATTTATAAGTTCCTGATGTGCTGCTGCCTTTTTTCAGAGATGTCCTTCCCCACATAGAGTAGTCTAGCCACAGTCTGCCAGCAGAGGCATCGCTGAGCTGTTGCAGGCTCTGTGCAGCTGTTGTATGAACTGCCTCAGTATTGGTGGACTGCCTCGGTAGTGGTGGATGCCTTTCCCCACACTGAGCTGGACTGTCCTGGGTCCAGCTGCACTTGCTGCAAAACTCTCAATCCAGAGCGTTTCAGATTGCTTGTTTTGTGGGGGTTGGACCCGCCAAGCCAGATCACTTGGCTCCCTGTCTCAGCCCCCTCCTTTTCAGTTGAATGGGTGGCTCTGTCTCCCAGGTGTTCCAGGCAACAGGTGAAATGGCTGCCCAGATTTGTGTGGGTTTCTGTGTGCCAACCCGTGGCACTAGCCATGCTGAAAACTCATGGTACTTTTCAACCTGGGAATCTCCTGGTCTGTGGGCAGTGAAAACTTGTTTGGAAATGCAGTGATCACTCACCCTCTGCATTGTTCTTGCTGGGAACTGCACTCTGGAGCTGTTCCTATTTGGCCATCTTGGATCCTCCCCTGAACCAACTTTTCTCCCATATTCTCTTTTAAAGGGAATCTATTTATATGAGTACTTGCAAACTGAAGCTAATTTTTTATTTTTATGTATAACATAAATTTAAACACAGTATTTGGTCAAAACCAAAACAAAATATGTTAATGATATTAGTGTTCTCTTTTGCTTTAAAATTAGGTCATTATGGTGCTGCTCTGTGCACAGCTTTTGCTTGATTTCTGCTTACTAGTTCGGGCTTGAGGACCTAATAAATATCTCTGTATAGTTATTGTTGAATAGATCTTCACATTTTGGATGAAGGAAACTGGTTGAATTTGAAAAATCTACTCTGAGATTGGCACATAACCAAATTATAACGTAAGGAGGAAAAAAAACCTGATCGTTTGTTGCTTTCCAAATTTTTGGCATGTTTTCAATGGTACAAAGCTGTTTCTAAAGAAAATTGGAGGGGGAAGCAGAAATCTTGAGAACTCCACAATATACAATTTGCGTCATTTGCTTTTCTAAATTGTTGTTTCTCACCAGTGTCAATAAACTGCTGTAAGTGGTTAAGCATGTTTAGTTGGCTGTACCTACTCATAAAATAAACAACGTGGCTAGTATTCTCTTTACGATTGATGATGATGGGTGCTATGTAACTACCCTATATAACTCTTAATGAGGGAATAATGAAATTTACCTTGCAGAGGTATCAAAAAACAAACATGTTTTTCTAGTGCCTGGGTCCATGACTAATTTCCCAATTTCTGTGTAAGAATTTTATACGTAGGATGTCTTAAATTCCAATCCACATGCCTAACAAGCATTAAAAAAAACCTGTGCTTGTCTTATCTGGCTGGAATGACACAGGAGTGATTGATTATTTTTCAGTCTATTAGGATGGTATCAGCTGGGATTGAGAAATTAATCAAGGGTACTCAAGGTCTGAAGAATATTTGAACTGTTGAATTAGGACAAGATATTTGCACTGAGTGCCAGAAGGAGTGGGGTACTATATATAGTAACTTGTTAAAAAATGTTATGCAGTGAGATATTTACATAAATGTTCATAGGAAAATATTAGTTATATTTTTAAATTATACAGTTAAGTTTTAAGAACAACACACAGTACATTGTGAAAAGTTTGTCAGAAGAAACATCAGGTGGATTTAGAAGCACAAGGCAAACTCATTTTTCAAATTATAAAATCTAGTGTCAAAGGGTTAGAATTTTAGTTTTGTTGCTTTTTAAAAGGTGTAATAATAAACAGAAAATGCCAATAAAAAGTATATTTGCATTATCTTAAACATGATTATTTTTCAGAAAAAAAATGCAGTAGTTAATTAGTTTGTTGTGTGAGAATCTTTGTGACTCTTTAAGGCTGACCAAAAAAGGGAAGGGATTTTTAATAAGTAGGTTTGGAAGGCCAAGTTCATGGTGTCCTTCCAAGCTGGATAAATCAGGCAGAATACTCTACCAAGAAAGGGATGGTCCTTTGGAAAAGAGGGTAATCAAGCTAGATTCCTTCTACTCGGCATAAACATCAAAGTCCTTGTGGTGGTTCAAAGAAGAAGAATCTGCTTCCATACATTTGGCCAGATTTTTGGCACCTGGTTAAAGAGATTGAGCAATGAAAAGCCTGGCTTGAATTTCATTAAAATTGAGTATTAAAAGCATACTCTTACAATTGGAGAGGATTGAGTCTTTTGATTGGAACGGGCCATTAGTATGTGCATGGCTTTGGTAACTTTCTTAATTTGTTTAATTGGAAAACTTGCTGTTTTTATCTCTCTGTCCAGCCATGGTCCTCTCTCTTCATAATATTCTTTGATGAACATCTAGCTCTCCATAAAATACCTAGCAAAAGAGAGAGATTAAAAAACATACTTTCACAAATGCTTTTCAAAATGAAAGCAAATGGAATTACATACCAAGTCTTTATCTCCTCTTAGACTTAAATTTGATTAGATTTGATGCTAATAATTAGGTTAAAATGAGCAATGATACTCTTGTTTGTTAAATTAATTAATGGCATAAGCGTGACTTCCCAAAACAATCCCACTGAACTCCTGCTTCAGGTTTCCAAAGAAGCCTGTGCTTTCCATCCATTCCCAAGGAATTTGAGGGGAGGCACCCATTTTTGCCGGTGGTTTAGCTAGAATTAAAATTAATAACGTTTTGGCCCCCTGCCTTTGCTCAAACTGCTGGGAAGCACAGACTTCTGTTGTTCAGTGTTACATGCGTCTTCCAGATTCTTAGTTGGGAAAAATGCGAAGTCTGCTTTCTGGCCTTGGGCAATAGAACACTAGGCATGGAAATCAGTGCCTTAGATTTTTACAGCAGCGTCAGCCCCCCACCGGTCAGCAACCGCAGTGGCTAACCTCTTTCTCCCAACAGAGAATGTATTTTCCAATGTGATGCCAATACATCTCTCAGGCCTTTGCTTCATCGGGATCATGAGCTATTTTTCTTTTTCTCCAAACATTTTGTTTTGAACGTTTCAAAATTTACATAAAAGATAAAGACTAGTACGAGAAAAAAATGTATATACCCGAATCTAGATTTATCAGTTCTTCACATATTACCATTATTTTCTCTCAGTCTCTCTTATTTATTTATTTATTTATTTATTTATTTATTTATTTATTTATGTATTTTTGCTGAACCATTTGCAAGTAAGTTACAGAGACTATGACCCTTCACCTTTATGTACCTTATCATGCATCTCCTAAGTATAAGCTCTTGAGCACAGCACCATTTTATTACATGCCCAAATTAACAAGCATTGTATGTAATATGAACTCCATATCAAAATTCTCCAGTTGTTTCCCCAATGCATTTTTTTTCTTTATCTGTAGGATTCGGTCAAGATTGATGCACTGCTTTGGTTGTAATCACTTTTTAGTTTTGTTAAAGCAAACTAAATATGGCCTCAGAAAGACTCCATACTTCTATATTTGAGTCCTTGTGGATGAACTTCAACCTAACTTAATAGGTAGACAAGATTGAAAACCTAACTTAACAGTATGCCTATAACAGTCGCTGAGTCTTGGCCAGTCCCTTATTTTAGCCACTCATACACTGATGAGTGTTCGAACTGTGTTTACATAAGGCAAATGCCAAGCTGTAACCAATCCAGCTGTTTTTATACTTCACTTTTGATTTCTGTATGTCACTTTACTTTTGTTGTCTATAAGTTTATTCTGACCAGGAGGCACCCCTGGCGTCTCTCTGAATCTACTGTGATTCTGGGGCCTGCCTGATTTACTTATCATTCATTACTTAAACTCCTTTAAATTTAGTTTGGCTGAAGTTTTTCTTTTAACAGTTTCTTTTAATCTGGAACAGGTTCCTCACATTTTGTTTGTTTTGTTGTTCTCATGATAATGACTTTTCTGAAGAATCCAGGTTAATTTTCTTATGGAATTTTCTACATTGTAATGTTACCCAGTTAAATTTTTTTCATTGTTAGATTCAGGTTAAACATGCTTTGGCAAGAATGCTCTATCAGTGTGGTTGTACATTTCTTAGTGCTTTATATACATGTTAGATTGTTCCACCATAGCGATGCTAAGTCAGGTCACTTGGTTAAGGTAATGATCACAGAGATCTCTTGTTTGTGAGGTAGATTTCCTCCTCTGGGATTAGTAAATAATTTGCAGAAGAATACCTTGAATGGGTGACAAATATGTTTCTTAACAATCTTTTGTCTTATATTTTCATGAGCTGTTAATCAGCATTGCTTGGTACAGTGATTACACAGGGGTTGCAAAAGGAATTTTTTCTTCCGTTATTCCTTCTTCATTTGTTAGCTGGTATTCTCTTACAGAGAAATTTTCTTATTTCTCTATCTTGTTTCTTCTTTATAATTATAAACTCATTTAAAAAATTGTATTACAATTAATTATTGTCATTGTTCTTTTATAGATTTAAATGTGCAAAATTTGCTTAATGGAAGCCACTTTAACAGGCTCATGTGCTTCTTTGACATAGTTTTATCATTTGAACAGTTAGAAATAAGTAAACTAGAGACTTCTGCCAAGATGGCCAAAAGGGAGCTTCTCTGGAGTGCAGCTCCCAGTGAGTGAGACACAGAACCAGAGTGATATCCACAACTCCCAATGAGGTACCCAGGTTCTTTTCAAAGGGACTGGTTGAACAGCAGGATAAACCCAAAAAAGGTGGTGAAAGTAGCCCATAGAGGGCTAGCTGAAGCAAGGCAGGGCTCCACCCCACCTGGGAAGTGCATCTGGTATGGAGGATTGGGGGCTTCACCTCCTTGGTACTCTTATTCGAGTACTGTGCTTTACTCCATGACTTTGGCAGCCCACAGTCCAGGAAAATGCCACCTGGCTGAGAACTTCCCCGAGTTACAAACCCAGGAAACCACCCTGGCCAGCCTGGTGCTGCAAATTGTTAGTGCAGACCAGGGCAGAGACTTTGACTAACACCAAGAAGGTTTGCAGGAAGCAACTGCCCATCTCACAGAAGGAGGGAGAGTTGAAAGTGGAGAGTCAGATGATATGGCCAGACAGGTCCCACCCCCACAAGATCCAGCATATGAGAGTTTCACAGTTAACACGTCAGACTGAGCTCCAGCCAGGATGAGTGGGCTTGGTGGAGGGAAAGATGCCTGCTATTGGGAAGGCAGGACTAATCTCACTGGTATAAGCAGAAACCAGGAGAAGAATAAACAGCAGCCTGGCTGAGATTGACACAGCCCAGCAGCATCTCCCCAGGCAGACAACAGAGTGAGTGTCTTAAGTGGCTCACTAACCCATGAGTTAAAAAAAAAAAGCCTTATGCAAGAGAAATAAACCCAACTTTAACAAAAGGTCCATTCACTCAGAGATAGCACCCGAAATCACCAACTTCAGAGATCAAAGTTGGAGATATACATGAAGATGAGAAGAAGCCAGCACAAAAAGGATTAAATCATCAAATTCTAGAATGCCTGTCCTCCCCCAAGAGATAACAACACCTCACCAGCAAGAGAACAAAACAGGTCGGAGAATGAATTTGATAAACTGACAGAAACAGGCTTCAGAAGATAGGTAATGACAAACTTCTCTGAGCTAAAAGGTCATGTTCTAACTCAATGCAAAGAAACTAAGAACTTGAAAAAAGATTAGATGAAATGCTAACTAGAATAACCAGCTTAGAAAAGAACATAAATGACTTGATGAGCTGAAAGACACAGCACAAGAACTTCACAAAGCATACACGAGTTTCATAGCCAAATTGATGAAGTAGAAGAAAAGATATCAGAGATTGAGGATCAACTCAATAAAATAAAATGAGAAGGCAAGAAAAGAGAGAAAAGAGTAGAAAGAAATGAACAAAGCCTCCAAAAATTAGGGGTTATGTGAAAAGACCTAATCTACACTTTATTGGCATAACTGAAGAGACTGGGGAATGAATCCAAGCTGGAAAACACTCTTCAGGATATCGAAGAGAACTTCCCCAACCTTGCAAAGCAGGCCAACATTCAAATACAGGAAATACAGAGAACACCACAAAGATATTCCTCAAGAAGAATAACTGCAAGGCACATAATCATTAGATTCACCAGGGTTGAAATGAAGGAAAAATGCTAAGGGCAGCCAGAGAAAAAGGTCGGGTCACCCACAAAGGGAAGCCCATCAGACTCACAGAGGATCTCTATGCAGAAACCCTACAAGCCGAAAGAGTGGGGGCCAATATTCAACATCCTTAAAGAAAAGAACTTTCAACCCAGAATCTCACATCCAGCCAAACTAAGCTTCATAAGTGAAGGAGAAATAAAATATTTTATGGACAAGTAATTGCTAAGAGATTTTGTCACGAGCTGGTCAGCCTTACAAGAGCTCCTGAAAGAAGCACTAAACATGGAAAGGAAAACCAGTACCAGCCACTGCAAAAATGAGCCAAATGGTAAAGACCAATGATGCAATGAGGAAACTGCATTGACCGATGGGCAAAACAAACAACCAGTAACAAAATGGCAGGATTAAATTCACACATAACAATATTAACATTAAATGTAAACAGACTAAATGCCCCAATTAAAGGACCCAGACTGGCAAACTGGATAAAAAGTCAAGACACATTGATGTGCTGTATTCAGGAGACACATCTCATGTGCAAAGACACACATAGACTCTAAAGGGATGGAAGGAGATCTATCAAACAAATGGAGAGCAAAAAAAAGCAGGGGTTGCAATCCTAGTCTCTAATAAAACAGATTTTAAACCAACAAAGATCCAAAGAGACAAAGAAGGGCATTACATAATGGTAAAAGGATCAATGCAATAAGAAGAGCTAACTATCCTAAATATATATGCACCCAATACATGAGTGCCCAGATACATAAAGCAAGTTCTTAATGACCTACAAAGAGACTTAGACTCCTGCACAATAATAGTGGGAGACTTTAACACTCCACTGTCAATATTAGATCAACGAGACAGAAAATCAACAAGGATATCCAGGACTTGAACACAGATCTGGACCAAGTGGACCTAATAGACATCTACAGGACTCTCCACCCCAAATCCACAGAATATACATTCTTCTCAACCCCACATTACACTTACTCTAAAATTGACCACATAATTGGAAGTAAATCACTCCTCAGTAAAAGAACAGAAATCAGAAATGGGCTGATCCAAGATGGCCAAATAGGAACAGCTCTGGAGTGCAGTTCCCAGCAAGAACAACAGAGGGTGAGTGATCCCCACACTTCCAAATGAGTTTTTACTGCCCACAGACCAGGAGATTCCCAGGCTGAAAAGCACTGCAAGTTTCCAGCATGGCTGTTTCAGCCAGCACAGCAGGTCTGCCCTCAAACTCACAAAAATCTGGGCAGCCATTTCAAC